ACAATACAAAAGCGGCCTCACTGCTCACAAACTATAATTTAATTTAAGGACCCCCACCAGTCCTACAGACCTCTGAAGACTCAGGAGAGAACATATAGGCAGTTCGGTCTACGAGAAGTTGATCTGGGTTTGTTCATCTAAAACGTAAATTTTCAAGAAGCACAGAATTGCCATTTTAAGGGAGGCAGCTGTTTCCTCTTAATTATGCCAAAACCAAAATCAACGTTCAAACAGTCTGTCTTAAGTAGTTGCCCCTGAAATTATATTTCATTCAGTTATTCTGAGATGTACCTTGTAGCTCTGTCATCCTGATGGGCCATCGGGCTGCTAATCCGCTTAAAATAAGACAAGTAACAACAAAATCCCCCAAGAGGTTCCTCTCGGGGAAGGCCACTGCCTGGTAATGCTGGTTCTCAGATGTTTCAGGCCACAGCTGTGCTTCTAGTTAACCACTCTGGAATCTAGTGTCTTAGTTCCAACAATTGAATTTTTTTTTTTTTTTTTAGCAAATAACTTTTGGTTCTAGCCCAAAGTTCTCCTATAGTATAACGCTCATCATGCCCTGTGTCAGGTGGAAAACCCACCACCAAGTCTTAAACTTATCCAAATTTTGAGTCACCTTTACCCCCATTCAACTGTCCTCGGGGCTCAGGGTAGGGGCCAGACGTGAAACAGTTATGTACTAGGACAAAAACAGAAATGAAAGAAAGTGTGTACTTTAGTTAAAACTATGTCCCTACCCTCACCCCGTCCGCCTCGAGAGGTGGGCCCTTCAGTGGGTGAGAGCCATCATCTTTGCTGGCGTCTTTTCCTTGGTCAAGTGTAAGGTGGGGCTGGGTGGCCCTTTGCTCTGGAAGACTGAGGGAGTCAGGGTGGGGCTCGGGGCAAAGGCAGCAAGGAGGACTGGCTGCACAGGTCTGCCCAGGGGGACACGTACAGGAACCAGGCAGAGACCCTGGTGCCTCCACGTCACCTAGCCCAGGTCACTGGGGCAGAGGGCAGAAAGAAGAGAAAGCCTATGGCTGAAGCATTTTCTGGAGTGTCCTCTGGTTCACTTGAGGGCGGGATAGTGTCACACCTAGTCTGGGAGAACTCCAGAAGGACGATTACTCTGCTTGACTCACTTCTGGTGGATGACAGCTCCATGACATTACTGAAGGACATGCGTTTCTTAAAAGGGTAGCAGTGGTCATTATTAGGATTAGGATTATGATGCTTTCGACTACTGTTTTGAGTAATTACTATTATTACTACTACTAATAATAGTAACATTGCTTAAAGGAGCTGACGCATGAGACATATAGTATCAGGATCTCCTAGACTCTAAGTTTTACCCACACAGGAACGCTCTATGCCACAGACTCTGAGCCACCTGCAGAAGGTATTTTGCTGATCGAGGTTTAATACCTGACCTTTACAGAAAGTGGATGGAAGCATCATCTATTTCGATAGCATCCTTGGAATTTTTTTAACTAAAATTCTATTTTAAAGATATCATTTATTTACTATACTTTAAAATGTGCTTTCATAATTCAGATAAATGTCTATTTTTTTTTTTGAGGGAAAATGGCTGAACCTGTATTCTTTCCTTTGTCATAAAACAAAAATATTCGATGACCCAAATGTACATGCCTTTTGACATTAGCAGCAAATGTTTAGTTCTAAATCCATGGCCCCTTTATACTGATCTGCTCATGTTATCACTTATATAAGCAACTTCTATGGTTTTATCCTGTGATATTTTATTTAAAAGACCTGCGATCCCAACAGCTACTGCAAGTTCTTTGAAGACAGACTGGAAAAAACTTTTTAAATGTATGAGAAATCCTAGGTGATCAAGGAGATCAATCCAAAATTGTCACAGAAATGTTCTCTGAAGTATAATAATGGCTTTGTGAACTGGTCACACAAAGACATGGTATTATCTCCCGTGAGAAGGAGTTAGACTTAGCTGCTTATAATCAGTGGTGAATCTAGAAAATTCCTAGGGTTTGAGGCATGACTCAGCATTTGATAGGTCTAACTGCCATATTTCCCTACCAAGGAAACCAGGAAAACCAACTCCTTCTGCCTAAGATTAAGCTGATTCCGTGATCTGGGGACAGTGGGAAACCCCCCTGGCCCTGGATCCTACTATTTAACTGTCTAGCCCCACACGCGCGGTTCTTCAATTTTCTCCGCCAACTGCTCTGGAGTAATCATTCTTTACCAAACAGCACAGTCAATGGCATAGCTTTCTATGGTTCATTTTTCAAGACAATGACTAAGCCTTTCAAATTTCGAAATAAGCAACAGTTCTGTGCAAATCCTCCAGCTATTAATACAGCTCTTTTCTTACCCTTTGTTCTTTACGAAGGCATTTTTCAAGTGAATGTAGCTGGAAGGAAAGATACCCTGGAAGAGAAAACACGGAGATGAAGGCGTGGTTGGCTCCACAAATCCTCTGTACAAAACACAGCCATACAGCCACGACGACATCAGGAACACGGATAAACGCCACCTCCGCCACGTCGTGTGGGCTAAAACCTACTGTAGCTCAGATTCATCTCTTCCCTTTTTCTACTCTTCACTGGTTAACAAATATATTCTCTAAAATAATCGAAAAATTAAATCTCATTCAAAATATATTCTTATAAGAATAAGAAATTTTAAAAACGTCGGGAATGCTCCATAGAAAGCATGTTATATTGAATAAAATTTTTTTTTAAATTACTGCATAGTTTTGAAAGAAGGTTGTTCTTTTTATTTTGATTCTTTTTTCTTCTAAAACATTCGTGTGTGTATTTAAAAATATACACTTAAAAAATACCACTGTGAATTTGGAGACAACCCGTGCATTATGTGTTCCAGAAGGTCTTTAATGAAAACACAGCAGCAATTAATCACCAGGCTTCCATTCCGATGAACAAAAATTGAACAAAAGGAGCCAGGCTGGCTTAAAGCTTTTTATTATGGGGAAAGGCAGGACATGAAACTGTTCCTTTGTTCTAAATGGGAAATTGGAAGAAACGACATAAAAAAAAAAAAAATGAGCATCAATTTTATCGTCCATTAAATGACAATGTCCTCTGAATGATTTTTGATGTGTACTCAAATGACGAATTCAATTAAATACTTAGGAAAACAAATGTCATTTGAATGTATTATCACCACTGTGGATCCAAGGATAACATAAAATTTAATAAGAAAATTCTATATGTATGACAGTATTAAATAGGCATATAGGTTAAAAAAACTTTTTTCTTCAAAATGTATATTTGTCTCAGTATGGTAGGATTAACAAATACAGTAATTATAATTAATAAGAAAAAGTCAGAATTTGAGATTAGATGAGTGACAGAAATAACAAGTCATTAATGGATTTTTTCTAAAACATGTTCTAATTGAATAATTAATACTAAAGCTACATGTGCATGTGCCTCACAGATGTCTGAAAAGAACTTTAAATGAGGGCTAAAGTATTAAAAAATTAAATTTGTATATTCTTTGGTCCCTCAGGCTCTCCTTCAAAATGACCTAAAATAAATGAAATAAAGTAATTACACACAGTTCTGTGATCCAGAAAAAGGCGAAAAGGCAGAAAGGCAGGCGAGAGTTTAGATCTCTTATATTAAACTTTGAGAATGAGAAATTATATCATTTCTTATCTACAATCCTAATAAAGCCAGAATTCAACTAAAAAAAATGAACATGACATATAAGAAAATATTAGAGAATGTGGAGTATATGGGTGAAAACTGGGGAGATTAGAATAAAGTAGAAAAACATAGACATTAGTAAAGATTAGTGTCAAAATCATAAACCACAAAAATGAAAGGTAAAACAAAAATCATATTACTTCCTTCTATAATTCCTGACGATTTGTATAAATATATAAGGGAAAATGAATCTTAGCTTCTGTCTGGACCGGTCAGAAAGACGAGAACTTTATTATATGGTTTGCCCACGTTTTCAGCTGCCCAAACCCAATGAGACTTAACACGCTGCTAAGATAAACTTCTTTCTCCAAACCAGTATTTTACAAATGATACCACAGAAAACTTAGAGATTAAATACCTCTATTCAATATTTCTTTTGGAATATGTATTTCCCCTGCCTGAATTTTAATTTCACCCTCTGCAAAACTAACACTTCAGAAAGATTTTGTTTATATATAATGAGCTTATTACGGTCTTCTCAGTACAAATTTCAAGAACTACATAGGATTATCACTTGAATAGAATATTTTAACTATAATCCAAGTTCAAAGGAATTTCCAAAATTATGAAAATCCGTATTGCCATGTGGCATTTCAACTAAGAATCCCAACTGTAATTTCAATTGTATGATGAAATAAAGTCAAATAACTTTTTTTAAAAATCTCATAATTATGGTTAGAAGTAACTTTTTTTTTTACCTTGATATTCGGGTTTTTTAAGGCAAATCCTCGGTACCAGCCTGTGGAGAAATAATCACGATCACATTTAGATAAACCATTATGATATTTTAAAGAAAAGAAATGATTACAAATCAATCTGTTCATTTCTGTCTCAGGGAAATTCAGGAGCGCACAAGATTTAATGTATCTGCAAATTCTCTTTGCCTGACTCCAGCCCAGACTCTTAGAACCAACAAATAGTGCTCAGCTAACAGTTGTGAGTGAGCCTGCACAGCCTCAGGGCCCCTTCTGGGGCTGGAGTAAGGAGAGAGAAGCCAGGGCCAGTGCGCTCAGAGCAGTCACGGGCCCTCGGCCATCAGCATCTCCTACCAACCAGGCTCGGTATCATTTGTATTCGATGGAACGCCTACGACTTAACCTCCGAGCAACTCTGAATCAATTTTACAGCACCATCCTTAAGGAAACATGCCTTTTTATATAAAACAAGTACAGAGTATATGTATATATGGTTAAGATATAGCCCCCTACGAATGTATTATTTTCAACTTACAATTTCTTCAAGTATAGAACCCATGTTACTGGCAAGAAATTATTTTACCATGTGACAGATGTTCTATTTTTTTTTGGACTAATTGAATTTTTAAAAGAAATACTTGAACTTTGCATTTAAATATTTTTGTTCCTCATAAGTTTCCTTAAAAGGATATCGTGACTAACAGTTTCAAAATCAGTCTGAAGAAAGTAGAATGAATTGAGAACCAGAAATATCTGTATCTTAGGGTTTATTAGGTCCTTCAAAGACATATCCAAGAAATATATCCCTTCTTAATTATTCTAACAGAAACCAAACTTCAAGAATTGCAGAATTGTCATAGCGAGGTCTCTGTCCGATTATACTATTCAGTAAGGTTTTTAGATTACAAAACAGCTCCCCTTAGCTATGGAGTCCATTTTCATGTACCACTTCAA